GACTTCCGCCGCCTGATACGAAGGCGGCACTACTCGTTTCCCTGGTTCGACGGGGTGAAGTTGCAGGGTGGCCTGCAGTTGCGAGCGTTGTTCCCCAGGGTGCGATGGTACCAGCACCACGGGTCGTTGGGGTCTCGGTTTGGCGTGTTTGACCTGCTTCGGGGGCCGCCTTGCGACTGCGTGGTTGAACGGCCACGTTGCTGGCCTTCCGGTTGTCGCTTAGCGATGTTGAGGAGCTGCGCGACGGACTGACGCAGCGACGCCATCTCCTTGGCCAGGGACTCCACGGTCGGCGCAGAAGACTGACCAGCCGTCTGGGGCTTGGTCGCTTGAGGGTGAACCGCGGCGACGTGCGGGTAGTCCTGGATCAGCTCGTCGGCCAGAGACGCCAGCTCATCCAGCGGGGTTGATTTGACGACCCGGAGGGAGCGTGCCACGGACGGCGGCAGGAGGTCGAACCACCGGACCCTGATGGCATCGTCGGTGACCGCGGTGCCCGCGAGAGCTTTCATGTGACGCAGGAGCTGTGACGGCTTCTGGTCGCCCAGCTCGAGCTGCGTGAGCAGCTTGCGGAGACGCTGATCGGCCATGTCTGTCATGCGCTTAAAAATTTCGGCCTTAAGGAAATCGTACTTGCCCTCAGCTGGAGGTGCCATGAGAACGTCAGCGATTTCCTGCACCGTGGCGTCATCCAAGGCAGCGACGACGTAGTCGAACTTGCTTGAGTCCGCGCGGATCCTGTGGTTGTTGAAGGCCGCCTCGATCCGGATAAACCACACGGTCGGGTTGACCTTCCAGAAAGGCGGGAGGCGAAGAGGTGCGACCGACATCACGGGGTTAATGTCGTCACCCGTGGGGCTCGCGCCTCCAGTAGAATTGTCGCCGGGGGGAGTTACACCATTGTCGTTGGGGGGAATTACACCACTGTCGTTGTTGTTCATGGCGAGTGCCGACGGCGAGACGAGTGTAAAAAAAACTGCACTGCACAGCACTGTCTTTGTCCTTGTCTTTTTTTAAAAAAGGTCCACGAGAGCAAGAGAGAGAGTGCGGGCTTTTGCTCAAAATGGCGGCGGGCCGGACAAAGCACGCGCACTGCAAGGCGCGCCGCGCGAGCGAGATGAGTCGCCTTGCTCGCCGAAAAAAAAAAGGAAAGATGGCGAAGAAAAAAAACACGCAATTGTTTAGCTCACCTCGAAACTTTTTCAGGCGGGGTCACCACTGTTGGGATCAGCTGAGCGTGTCCCGGAGCTCGAGGAAGTTAAAGGCGAGGGTAGGCGCTCAAAGATGCTCACTCGAGTGTACTCAATAAATGGCGATTTATTAGCATACAAAGAATAGGAGGCACAATGGTACGGCGAAGTGTCGAGAGCTGTGACGGCAGTGGAGGCTGCGAGCGTGAGCGTGCGCGAATGCAGCTCATGCGAGGGTCGAGCTCGGACTGGTGTGGGCTGGACGCGCGCCACACTAGGAAGCTGCTTGGCGGCTAGAGATGCGGTGGCAGCGCCGCTCGGCGTGGACAGCGCGAAGACCTCGCGTGGCTTCAGCTGCTGCTTGCGTCGACCGACTGTGTGTGCCTTGACGATAGTCGAAGGCGCCACAGACGTAGTTCAGGAAAGGTACAAAATTAAGAAAGGAGGGCCTGTCGTTATGGTACGAGGTGAGTTGTTCGAGCAGAGGCAGGTTCTGGAAAACCGATTAAGTTGCTGGGAAGACATCGTCATGGTTCCCGTTAATCGATTCTTAAATTGTCTAACCAACCCAAGCCTTACGCTTATACGTAGCTTCACATGCACTCGTGGTGTCCACTGTTCAAAAATATATCCACGCAACTAGACTTGATTGTCGGCTCGCGTTTTCATCGTTGTGATTATACCATGAAGCTATCTGAGCGTTTTTCATAATTACAATTCCTATTCCGTGATCAGTTCTAGTCATAGAACATAAGTAATTTAATTTTTCAATTAGATCACAGTACTAATTGCCTATTACTTTGGAATCATTTTTTGTAGTACCAACTTCCAGAAGTAGCACCTACTTCGAAAAACTATTGATGATTCCATAAATTACAAACCCGTATCTCTTGAGCTTATCGTTACCGTCAGCATGCCATAAGTAGTAAGGTCCAGGAACACTATACTCTTCTTTTCAGTTTGTACTTTCATCTTGATTCAACACCAGTTAGAACAAGTTCTCTTAACAACTTCAGTACTATATTTTTGGCTAAGTGTAATACCGTTGTAGTTTTTTATTCGCTGTGTCATGCTTTGGTAACTTGAGTTACAATCACTTCCTTCAAATTGTATAATACTGGCCATAATAATTTCATCAAGGCAACTTTTTTTGATATTCTTGCATTTTGTAACTGTATTCTTTATAAAAATACTTTGAAACTTTTTTCTTATGCCCCCAACTTAAAACCATCTGTCTTGCAACATTATGCATAAAAAAAGTATGAATGAACGAAAAAGCCATGCATTGAGATTATAAGCCATTCTTACTTTTGAGTTCCACAAATTAAATGAGTATTGTGTATATAATAGAATTCTTGACAAAACCTTCTGGATACAAATAATACTATTAACCTTGCAGACTCTCCCAAAGTTTACAAGCTTATCCTTCTGAATTCCTGGTAAAAACAAAACTCATGTAAAAAGCTAGAATGAATGAAGTATGAAACATGTAAATGATTGTATAGTACTGATATCAATAAGTCTATTAACTTTTAAAATCGAATTAATAATTTGTTGAAACCATTTAGAAAGAGCAGTTATCTTTGGCACTAAGAGAACAAGTAACAACGTAACCTATATTTAGGCCACAAAAAAATAAACTATAAGAGCTGTCTTTATTCTGATGGAGAAACTTATCATTAGTTTTTTCAACAGTATGGTATTATAATCAATGAAGAGTAATAGAAAAAATGTTCTTACAAATCACTTAACAATAATGTTCATGATGAACGGCAACAAGCATAGCGCAAAGTATTCTAAGCCTTTTTTCTCCTCGAACAGATATGCCTGCATGTACGCCCGAGTAGTGGGGCTAAGGCGCTTCTGTAGCTTCTTCTAAAATTGCGCTGCTTCTGTGGACTTGCGCAATGCAGGGATAGCTTGATTATATAATTTTCTTGTAGAGTGATGTGATGTGAAATGTTATTTAGAATTTCAAATTGACCACCACTGACATGTGCTGTAAACAGAGACTATCTGCCTCACTGTCTTTTAACCTACTATAAGTTCCAATCTCAATACAAAATATGTTTGAATTATTTCATCGGGATTGCGCGAACGCAGTCCCAGCAACCAAAAATAGTGCGCCCGAGATATCCACAATAGGAATATTCGCAAGGGTCAGCCCAATCATAGTGCAAGGACGGAGCCTCACCCTGGGGGAACCATCTTCGTAATCGTGGTATCCCCAACGCCGGGTAAGCATACCGNTAATCTTAAACTAGTTTTGAGGGAAAGGCTACATAAATAATAAAAACAAAATAATTCAATACATTTATTTATGACATAATTAAAAAAAAAAAACAGTTTCATTGAGTTTTTTTTTTATTATACATCTTCTTCAGAATCAGTAACATCTTCCCATTCCATATAAAAGTAGAATTTTTTTATTCGTTTGACATTGTGGGTGACACACAGATCTGTACGCACCATTATGGTGAGGACATGCAGTAGCTAATGTTGGGAGTTGAACTCTGGATAATCAACCATATCATTAACTTGAAAATTAAACCTTTCGAGCCACCTTTTATTCACTTCTCCAATCACAAAAATCTTCTTAGCATCTTTGAGATTCTCCCGAAGAACATTACCAATTTCTGTGTAGTTAATAACACCTGATTGCTAATCTAATCCATGATAGGATAGCTCAAGCCATAAATTTTCACGTTTGTATTTATCATTTAGTTTGCGCCGAGAAAATGGCGGCTTGAAAAGAAATACTTGAGGCTCATCATCTCCATAGAGTGGAAGAATCACCAACTCTTTAAGCAAATAATCGTTGCCGGGCTTCTTAAAGCCCTGCATGTCCACCATGTATTCCATCATGATAAAGACTGACTTCACTGCTAGTATTTTTTTTTTAATTTTGTATACGTGCTTAAACAAGTTTTCTCACGTTACCACTAATGGGATTGTACTCTACGATGCGATCGTGTAGAATGAGATAGTAAGCAGATATATTTTCCGGGAAATTCTCTCGTGCTTCAAACTCGGAGTGCACGTCCACTGGCGCGCTTTTCAAAGCTTCATTCTGCTTAGAGCAGTCAATTACAATAAGAGGCATGTGTATGATGAAATCTTTTTTATTCAGCATAAGTTCTGGTTCTTTCCCGTAATAGGTGGCTTGAAAATTCTTATACACATCATATAATGTTGAAGACTGATTTTTATTAATATCAAGATTAAGATTTCCATAAGGATAGTACTGTGAGTTTAAGAAAAGCTCTACATTGCTGATATTATAATGATCAAAAAGACTGGCATTAGAAGCAGGATCATTTTTTCTCTTATTCTGAAAGCCCAAAATAACAAAACGAGGCTTTTCCAACTGATTGGAAGTTTTGACAGTCCACACATGCTTAGAAATTATTGGCAAAATAGGATACTCATACAACTCCCAATTGCAGAAACTCATAGAAATAGGCTTGTATTTTGCAATAACATCAAGCAAACGAATTTTTCGTCTGTCTGATGCAGTTATGTAAGGCACAAGCCACTCAATCTGAGTCAATTTAAGCTTATACTTTTCGAAAATTTGATTTTCAGGTACTTGTACAACGGCGCTAACATCATCTCTTGATATTGTGACAATTAATTCATGTTTTGCATTAACCACAACTTTGCGATAGTCCTCAGCGAAACCAAATATCATACTCAGCCAAAGCATAAGTTCCTAGAACAACTGTTGGAGCCCATAGATGGTGTAAAGTATTTTTCATACAGTGATCATGAATCAGTCATATCTCCGGATAAGGCACTACCCAACTCTATAATGATATTTGACGACATTGCCTGTGAGAAACAAGATAATGTGAAAGCCTTTTTCTGCATGGGACGTCACAAAAGCGTTGACTGCTTCTATCTATGCCAATCCTATGCTCAAGTTCCAAAGCACGTAGTCAAAGATAATTTAAACCTTTTAGTAATATTTCGACAAGATGACATGAATTTGAAGCACATCTATAATGATCATGTTAATACTGATATGTCGTACAATCAATTCAAAAAATTATGTGTAAACTGTTGGAGAGTTGGAAAACATGGATTTGTCATAATAGACAAGGAAAGAGATGTTAATAATGGTAGATATAGGAGAGAATTTGATTCTTTTGCAATAAATATTACTCATGCTTATTAAGTGCGTATTAGTCTCTTGTTCACCATCAAGCGATCAACATGGACACTTTTCGTGAGGAATAAGACGTTCTTCGGCAAGTTAAAGAAGCTAGAGAAGCTGTTCGACGTAAGCATCGATTGTTAAAGTCAGAAAGAGAAAATTTTAAGAAGCAGGTTGGAGAGACTTTCAAGCCTATTACTGATCCACTTCTTAAAATTATCGATGACACAAAGAAAGTCAAAAACGTGCCACTTAGCTCTGAATCTTTTGTTACCGACTTGTTTTACGAAATAAAACTGTGTAACATTTATTTTTCTTAAACTGATTTATTGATACGTGTTGTCTCTACGACGACTTGACAGATATAAAAAACTAGCACGCTCGCTTGAAGTTATTATATAAACAAAAAATATAAAGAACTAATTGTCAAGGAAACGATCGTCGTTTCACAGAATAAAAGCGCGTCGTGACCGAACGCCTGTGACAGATTCGAAATCTCTCGCTACGTGGCTCTTCTCACTTTACCGATTTCTGAAGTAATCGTGTGAGAAAAGATAGGTGCTCCCAATCAGCCCTTATGCGACCTACCATAACA